GGAAAGAGAGGGGAAGTCTGCTGCCTTCACAGACTACAGATCACAAGAACTCACTTGCAAAATATTAAGGTTTTTGCATTTTCACCTCCGGTCAAATGTGAACTGTGTACCATGAATAGCTATTAGCTCACTGCAAATTTAAAATGCAAATTTAGGCTCCAGTTTAAAGCACATGTTAAGTACATGCTTAAGTGCTTCACTGAAATAAAACCATAAAACATTAATACAAAAAGTCAAGTAGATAATGCAGGTTATTATCTACAGAAGTCCTTGATGAAATAAACTGTCAGTAGGAAACAACGCATGAAGAAATCTCTTCATTCTAGTTTGCAAAATCAAATCCAGCTCACCAGAGCGATGGTTAAAAAGTGGGGAACATCCCAGAGTAGCTTCGTGTCCTACAGAAAGCTAGCTGGCCATCAGAGAGCTCATCAAGGGCGGGTTTCCACACTGCATGTTAAAAAGAGCAACAGTGGACTCCCTCTGCAGTAGACGCTGGAGAGACAACTGGCACAACGCCATCAAAAGCAATACAACCAGAGCCAAGTGGAAGCACGCTGGAAGAGAGCTGCAAGGAAAAGTTTTAATTGCTACTGCCTATGGCTGAAGTTTAGCAAGTTGGACATTATGACAGAGGAGATCAGCAACCAATCTGATTCCGGTTTTTGGGTTTCAGCACTGTGTGCGCCCAGAATGCAAAGGACGGTACTGCCACACATGCAGCAATGCCTCAGACTGGCACCTGCTCGGAGGTGGCCATTGCATCAAAATACAGTCGTTATTTGAGAGTCCTTTTGTGCTTTGTATCGCTCTGACCTAGTCTAGCGTGGAGAACTCGCTCTGAAAGGAAAAGTCACTAGTCAGCATTCAGCACATCCTTTTCGACTGCCTCGTTCTGTAGAGCAACGGTGGAACAACAGAAAAGTGTTCTTAGCTGCAATCAATACTCACAAGCCAAAAGGACAAAAGACACAATTTTAGTAGTTTAGCAGAAGCAGAAGAATGGAAGCGTTTACCCAAATTTTAATGCACAAATCAACTACATTTTTAAAGTTTGATTCAGACTTAAATAATAAATAGGTGGGCAAAATATAATGCAAGACTTACTCAGTAAAAGTGAATTTTTAATAATCTCATGAGATCTACTTAGAAAACAGGACTAATAATGTTCAAAACCGTAAATCCAAACCCTTCACACACTTTTTCGTTTTCCTTAACACAGCAGTGAACTGTAAACCTGCATCTACTGGTTATCGCTTCAGTTATATTAAATATTAACTCAAGTGTTTCCTCCTTGGCCATTTCAATTTGTAGCACCAAAATTAGCCCCAAAAGAGGTACTGGTACAGCTCGATGTCGTAAATGAATTACATATAATACTTTATATATTATACACACATACTGTACATTCACACATCCACACAAACAGGAGGCATATTTAAATGAATATATTCTGTGTTTCAATTTGTTGTCAAAGACAGGAGCAATGGAAATAAAGCAGAAGGGGTAATATTTTACATAGTAGGCAACTTTAATGCTGTAGTGCACTTTTATAAAAAAGTCCAACTCTCCCTCCCAGCTCAGCAGCTTTTTTTTTTTAATATCACTATTCAGAAGGATGCAGAAGTTATTGCCTAAATGTTATTCTATACATTTCCATCGGAATTCTCAAAAACACTTGAAATTGCTAACTAATTTACAACTTAACTATTTTTCTTGTTACAGCTTTAACTCATTGGCAATTTTGGAAGCAATGTTTTTAAAAGCTATGGATGTTCCCGATATCCGCTTAAAGCGAACTCCGTTCAGGGACAGTCTTGGCAGTTTACACACCTCCATCTCCCACTGTACAAGGTTTTCCGCGTGCCCATCTCCATGGACACAGAAAAGCAAGAAACGCTCTCTTTGTTCATAGTCACAATTATTGGCATCCAGGACCTTTCGTATTTCCCTCATCATGTCATTGGGATCCATGGAGCTGGTGGTTTTCATGCTCCAGGTAAAACGCAGCGACCGAGGCTTGGCTTCCTTGTTCTCGTCCTTCTGATCCACAGCTACATTGCGGCTGAAAGACAGGAATTCATTAGTTAGCAGAGCCAGCTATCATCTCCATGTTCCGTGTTAGTGAAGCAAACTAACACTCAATGCACACTACCGGTATCAGAGCAGCCTCTACACGCTCCGGTTGCGAGCAACGCCCCGTTTCCCTAGCCGCTGTACGAACACACAGTCCAGGTAAAGCATTAGCTGTTGGGGCTGAAACAAAGGTATGGTACAATGGGCGACAGAACTGGAAGTCACTGAAGTCAGGAGCATGAGGGAAATGGCCTTGTGGAGGCAGAAGTACACGCACCACCTACGACTTGATTTCAAGGCAGGTTCTGCTCAAACCCCTATTCTCAGGCCATGTGGACAGCTGAAACACCAGCTCTGCACTAGAAGTTTCTGGAACATTCAAACAGTGGTGACTTGTGACAAAAGGGTGCTCGGCCCAGGTCATGGGAGTGCCAGACCACAGGAGACACCTACTCATATGCAATGGGGATGAGCCTGTGCAGAAAGATCCTGGGGATTCCTCTGCACCTCTTCCAGTGCAGCAGGTTAGAGACCAAGCACTGGGAGGGCCCATGGCATGTCCAGTAGATGCAAGCAGGAGGAATGGAAGGGGAGCCAGGGGACCCCCACCTATTGCCCCAGGGCCAACATGTGCCACCCAGCTCCGAGCTGGTTTGGATTCCCTCTGGCCTTCCTGCACTGGTAAGTGTTTGAGATGGTCACTAGAGACCCATCACATTGTAGGCTATTGGGGTTACCTTTAACAGGGAGGAAATACTTTGTCTCTAAGCTGGTCAGTAGTTTGTTTAATACCAACAACTGGTACAGGTAAAGAGATTAAATCTTTCATTGCTATGAGCTACATGACTAAGTGCCTTTGAGGCTGAAATGCAGGAAAGAGCTGGCAGTCACTGTAAGACACATCATCATCGTTAGTAAAGACAGCAAATAAGAGGGTTACTGTTACTGTCACAGTTGTAAGAGATAAAGCAAAAAAGATTGAGGCTGAAACTGTTTTTTTTTAAATAAAAAATCTTTTCCATTGGTATGGACAAATAAGGTCATACAGGACAAAGAAAAGAAGCATTCCAGAAATTTCTAGTTTGCAATGATTCTTCTCCTTCAAGCAGAATCAGTGGTCACGCAGCTAAAGAATAAGGAACTACATTTGGACCTCCGGGGAAAATAAAATATGACAGATTTGTTTTATGAATATTTGTATGCTGTCAGTTCCCTCTTCAAATTTACTTGTCCTTAGGACAAGAGTGTTAAATATATTGTCATGCTTAAATATTTTCTGTAAATACCCAATCTAACTGACCCTAAACCATGCAGTTTAAGTCTCATACTGAACTTTGGAGTTCAATTTATAATATTAAGTCAAGCTGCTCTTCAAAATAGTTGGCAAGGAATTTCTGGTTACACAATGCTTTCCTTCTACCACCATTAAGCAGGCAATTACAAAAAAACATTAAATAAAAAGCGATAGCAAGGTCAAAACTAAGCAAATCTCTCCCTCAAAGATAACCTATTTCATGCTTTTCCATTCTATTAGAAAGAATTCCAGTAACTGCGAGAGTCGTACGATTATGCTGTCAAATCCAGCTACATGATTTGCCAGATGTTATATAAAACAGCAGGCAAATTAAAGAGTACTTTGTTTTAACTTTAAGGTTTTAATTTAATAAGGCTGTACGGGGGCAGGGGGAATACCAACTTTTATTCAACGCTCATTTTATTTCTGAAAGCTTTTTCTACTTGAAAGCAGTTGGCAGAACCAGCACAAGTTTGATCATTTCTAGTATTTTTTTTGATATGCAGATTTTAGAAGAAGAGTATAACATGAAAAATATTGTTTAACTATCTGTGATTTTGGAGATGAGTTATCACCCTTCAGTGGTTATCCCACACATCTGCAGCCTCGCTAGAGACCACTTACCTACACATCTACAAGACAACAGCAAATTATAACAACTAAAATGCAAAAAAACACACATGGGAAAAGGCAACAGGAAAGATGAAAGTTTAGAACCAAGTCAGTCAGTGTAGCTGTTTTGCAGACAGAAACGCTTCTTTGTTTAGTTTCAAAGCCTTACACGAAACAAAAGCTGCTGCCTGAAGCCACTATGCCACATAATCAAGGGGAGAAAGGTTCAAACTCACCTAAGTAACATTTTAGACAAAAATTTTACCCTCACCTTGAGCCCTCAAATCTCCCGTTCCTCTCATATTCAGTCGGGAGCCTCATTGAAAAGAATGCAGAAGCAAAAGGAAGTGGGAAAGAGAAGACAAATCTTACACTACAATATACAATAGCTGAGTAGCTGCTAAAAGATACTGCAATCATACCAAAGGCATGTTAAAAACCAAAGCAACAAAGATGTAAAGAACTTTGTAGATTAGACCAAATTCAGGATATAACACTGTCAAACCAAATGGAAGTCTAAAACCTACATTTTTTTAAAGAGACCATAACTAATTTTTACAATTTATGTTTATATATATTAATACTGTAGAACTCATTGAATAAAGTTGAACTTCTAAAAGCAGAAAATGTTAAACTAAAGTTACAAACCATATTGAAGTTATTGTATTATTTATTAAGTACTTCCTGAAAGAGAAATAATTGCCAATTATTTTTAGGCTAATTGTATTTTAAAGTTTTAGCTGGTAATACAACATATATTTGAAAAAATACCTTATTTACAGACAAGCCTGGTCACCCTGTGTGTTTGCACGCACATCAAATCTGAGGTATAAGGTGTTTAAACAATACTAAATATCTTAAAGCAAAAGATGATGCATATACATTTTAGTAAAGATTGAGAAGCAAATCCAAGATTTCTCAAGCTGAGGTAAGTCCATCCTATTAATTCCCACACTGACCCATCTTCAACATCTGAGTAAACTTAAGCTTTCTGTCTTCTTGCATCGATTAAAGCTATGTTGCTTTTATCACCACCATTTTTTAAAAGCCCAGTATCAAGCAGAATTAAAGGGGAAAAAAATCACCTTCTTCTACCTTCCTATTTTTGCAGCACCACAGTTCTACATCTTAGTGTTAATTCTGCTCACAGGGAAGCTATCTTTATAAGGCTCTTATCAAGCCTACTCTAAGCCAGTACATGGCTTCACTGAATAGTTTAAATTATTAAAGCAGTTTGATTGAGGTGTCTAGGGACACGAATGTAACGCACTAAGCTTATAAATACTGCTATACATCAAAAAATATCAGGCTGTGTGGGGTGTTACACGGCTTAATTTCCTCATTTCCTTTCTTTTGAGGGTTGCAGTGAGGGAACAGGCTTGCTAGATGACTCTGTGCAGCCCCTGTCGCAAGGGAACAGATGCTGTGCTAGCACCCCGAGGAGCACGGTGGCAGCGCTCGGTGTGTGGGCTATGGAGCCCGGTCCTTGTTCAAAACTGACGCTGCTATTGCAACAGAAATCCAGTTAATAAAGTGGTAAGTCACTCAGCTATGAGCTGTTCATCACAACAGCACCCAATCAGAACCCTGCTCTCTGAGGTACTGCACAGCACATGGCAAGACGGGGTCTCCGCTAGGAAACGTTTCCACTGACTAATGAAAAGCTGCCCTAAGAAAAAAATGACAAGGAAGATCAGAAGAAAACAAATGACAAGTGCTCAACTAATTCTAATGCTTCAAAGCATATTTTTAATGGTAGTCCTTTTCACCATAGCACAATTTTCTATACAATTGTTAAATTCAGCTTTCTTAAAAAAGAAAAGAGGGGAAAATCGTTCCCCTTGGTAACACAGGAAGGCAACTGACTCGGAGGCTACAGCCCTCCCAATCTCCCAAGCACCCGGCTGCAACCAGTATTTGATGTCAGACTTCTGAAACCCATGTTAAGAGTTTAAAATCGATAGCGCTATTATCATTTTAGCAGGCAGATTAAGATCACGTGCTACTTCACTATGATGGATATAGGAGAAGATGGAAAAATATTTATAAGGTCTGTATACAGAGTCCATGAACTCATCCTTTATGACAACTCTGTAGGACTGAGATGGGAGTAGGTGGGAAGAGAGTGAACCATCTCCATGCAGCAACTGAACAAATCCACAACGTTCAGATGATCTGAGAGGTGCTCATTTTACTGGGCAAAACAAGCAACAAATATGAAGATACTGTCAACTGAAAAATTAAGAGTACTTGAACTTTAAAGAGCCTACTGTGTTCCTATGAAGTGGAAGACATCATCTTTGTTAGGATTTAAACTTGCCAAAAAGGTTGTAGAAAATAGGAGCATAACCAGTCTTCCCAACAATGAATAGTCTTACTGTTACTGGAATCTGTCCAGAAAAGTCTGGGAGGAAAAATCCCTACTGATGTTCTCAGACCCTTTTTAGGTTGAAATTAAGCCAAACTGTTCAGTTTCTAAACCACTGTAGTCTAAATCTCAGAAAGGTCATTA